GGTGGAAAAAATCCCTTCGCCCCCCCCCCCCCCCCCAACCCCAAGAGTCGCACCAAAAAAAGACTGTAGAGTCAGGGCCCTCTTCCATGGGGCCGGCTTAGCGCTGGCTGTTTGAGCCGCGGGTGCCGTCCCCCCGAGGTGTGTGTTTCGGCTTGGGCTCTAGGTTTTAGGGTTCAGGGATTTCAGTTGGAGAGCTGTGAATTGAAACGTGCTATGCTGCCTAGAGTCCTGGACCCGGATGATGGTTTCTTTCTTGTTTGGATTTTATTTGGGGGGGACCTGGGTTTATCATGTCTGTACTGACTGTAAAACGGTCGGAGCCCCAACAAGGAACTTCAAGAAACGACGATTGCAGGTCTAGGTCCTCGCTTTGTGCGCTGGTTGCTTGATGCCCGCTGACCGCTGAGGCTCTGTTCCTGGCTTTGAAGACAAGGAAGCACCCCACGGGGCTGACCACATACCGATATACCGTACTTGCACAACTTTTTTTTTTACACTCGGTAGAGGGCACAAGGGCAGCGGGGGACGGGGGGAGCAACCCTAAACCTATAAATCCGAATTCGTTACCGTCTGATGTGCGCTTGCATGGGCGACTGCGGCTTCCAGCCCGATGCCTAGTCCAGCTGCTTGAAAAAGGATCCCCAACCCGAAAAAGTACAATTTTTTCTAATTTAAGGCATTACCAGCATGTTCGACCCCACCTTGAGAACCCGAAGCCTGCGTTTTTGTAAGGCATGAACTTGTTTGTGCGCTGGAGGTGGACTCTAAACACACAAAATCTGCCTCAAACCCCAACCCATGCGTACCCCGGCGAAAGCAAGAAGCCCAAGTTTTGAAGATGGAATCCCTCCCGCTTGGAACTAGGAGAATAGCTCAAGGAACCCTAAACTCCTGACTCTTACTTGCTCGTTGCTGGTAGGGATATCGAGAATTAGGTTCCCGAAGTAGGTGGATCTAAGGTGCCTGATTCCTTCGCGACTAAGAACTATAGTAAGCTTATCGTTCATATTCCATATAGACAAGTATGTGTGTATCTATATACATATGCACACCTACATACATATTCACTACATGCATGCGCTCTCCCTCCTATGTATGTGTACACACTATACATACATGCATACATCCATCCATCCACCCATCCATCCATACATACACACACACCCATACATACATACATACATACATACATACATACATACATTTCCTGACGAGACGTACAACCACCTGAAACATCCTGAAAAACACAAATATATCAGTAAAGTATCCAAACAAAACCTTATGGCGTACGTACCCCTTTCACTAGTCTTTCACTCAAAACCACCCTAAAACGTCGCTATATGAAGATATAGCAGCACACAGCCACCTGAAGCACCCTGAAAAACAATAATGCAACCGTAAAGTATCTAAAAAACTTCTGGCGGTCTCAGGGAATAGTGAAAAGATATTTGCTCACAGTATTCTCGCGTCCACGGCACTTACAGCAGATGATGTTTTTGCATCACCTTATGCCTTCTTTATTATATGTGTTTGATGTACAATACTTGTACCCTATATACATACATGATGTGGGTACTTCTTCTACTTTCTCTTTGGATTTTCACAGGAGGCAAGTCCTGCAAACATAGGCATAACCCTACGGGATTTGAGGTTTAGGGATTTAAGTCTCAAGACCTTCAGGGTTATAAGGTTCTACTCCTGCCTAAATACCTTAAACCTGAAACCTGTAAACCCCATAGGGTCTAAATTTAGAGATAAACCCTGAAAGGACCCGAAACCTTTCAACGTTATAGGGTTTAATGGTTTACAAACCTAAGGTCTGGGCATGTATACCTTCAGCTCCTATGGGGTTAAAGCCTTTGAGCCTTTCTGGCCCTATAGGGCTTTAGGGCTCAGACCCTAAAAGTTTAGGGCTAAGGTTTAAATGCCTCAACCTTAAACCTTCATGGGCTTAGGTTTAAGTGCCTAAATCACAGGGTTATAAGGTTCTACTCCTTGGTACTGCCTAAGCCTTAGGCCAATAGGGTTTAAACCCTATAGGGCTAACTCCGTGACGGTTTTGGAGATAAACACTGCAAACAACTCAAAACCTTTAAATAGGCTTTAATGGTTTACAAACCTAAGGTCTGGGCATGTAGACCTTCAGCGCCTATAGGGTTGAAACCTTTGAGCCTTTTTGGGCCCTATAGGGCTTTAGGGTTCAAGCCCCAAACGGTTTAAATGTCTCAACCTTAAACCCTGAGGTTTGGACTTTATGGGCTTAGGTTGTAATACTTTAAATCTTAAACCCTAAACCTTTAAACATTAAACCTATAGGGTTAAAAGGTTAAAGGTTTAGGTTTAATTGCCGACTTCTGTGCAAATGCCTAAATCTTAAACCCCAAACCTTTAAACCTTAACCATATAGGGCTTAAAAGTTAAAGGGTTTGGGTTTAATTGCTTAACCCAAAAGGGCGTCGGGGTAAACCCTTAAACCAATAGGTCTTAGAGAATAAGCCCGCAGTGGAGCTGAGGGAAGGGGAGGGCGGGGCCAGCGAATCCTAGAGCCAGAGTATGGAGAGGAAATGCGTCCGCGACTCCCAGATTTTAGTACGGATTGTTGAAGATGGTGGGCTTAGGGTGTTCCTGCATTTAAAACTGCATTTAAAAAATTAAGTTAAATGCAGACCACCCCCAGGAACCAAGAACCAAGAACCAAGATGCTCAGAACTCTTGATTCTGGAATCTTGGTTCCTGGGGCTGGGCTGAATTTAAAACTGCATTTAAAACTTTAAGTCAAATGCAGACCACCCCCAGGAACCAAGAACCAAGAACCAAGATGCTCAGAACTCTTGATTCTGGAATCTTGGTTCCTGGGGCTGGGCTGCATTTAAAACTGCCTTTAAAAACTTTAAGTTAAATGCAGACCAGCCCCAGGAACCAAGAACCAAGAACCAAGATGCTCAGAACTCTTGATTCTGGAATCTTGGTTCCTGGGGCTGGGCTGCATTTAAAACTGCATTTAAAAATTTAAAGTTAAATGCAGACCACCAATATGTTGCCAAAATATGTTGTTTCAATTGAAACGGCCGACGTTTCAATTGAAACGGCCGGGATCCAAGATCCAAGATCCAAGACTTTGAGGGGCTATTGGAAATGCATCTTGGAATCTAGCTTGGATCCCGGCCGTTTCAATTGAAACGTTTCCGTTTCAATTGAAACGGCTGGGATCCAAGATATAGGATTCCAAGATGCATTTCCAATAGCCCCTCAAAATCTTGGATCTTGGATCTTGGATCCCAGCCGTTTCAATTGAAACGTCGGCCGTTTCAATTGAAACGGCTGGGATCCAAGATCCAAGATCCAAGATTTTGAGGGGCTGTTGGAGATGCATCTTGGAATCTAGCTTGGATCCCGGCCGTTTCAATTGAAACGTTTCCGTTTCAATTGAAACGGCTGGGATCCAAGATATAGGATTCCAAGATGCATTTCCAATAGCCCCTCAAAATCTTGGATCTTGGATCCCAGCCGTTTCAATTGAAGCGTCGGCCGTTTCAATTGAAACGGCTGTAACACAGAAGTCATATTTATTCTGAAGCACTTGTGAGTTCATTGTGAGTTGCACTTGTGAGTTCATTGTGAGTTGCACTTGTGAGTTCTTGTGGGTTCGTTGTGAGTTTATGAAGTTGAGGAGCAGATGAATCGGAGAACCAGACTGCGTTGTTTCATTGTGTTGTCTCCTTGAAAAAAGTGGTAAAAAAGGTGGATCTTTGGGGGGGGGGGGGGGGGTACCATATATATATATATATATAGATATATGTATATATATATATGCATTTTTTATACTATGCCATGGTAGTGCGTGTATATGGTCGACACCCAACCCGTGGTTGCGCACGTGACGAAGCGGAGGAAAAAAGGGTTTAGGGGTTAGGGTCTAGGGAGGGAAAGCATGGGAAGCGCAGGGCCTACCTATTGATTTCATACCTGTTGTCTGGAAATGTATGGAGAGGGTTAGGTAGGGCCTTGATTGGAAATCGTTGGGGTCACGTGGGGGTAAGGTTTTGGGGTCAGAGCCTAGAGGATCTTTCAAGAGTCTGTATTGCATTCAGTTCCAAGCCTAAAATGTCCGTACAGTTTTTCGAAGTTCTCTGTGGCAGTCAGGTCATAAGGCACAAACTCAAGCATGCACTACGTATATATATATATACACACAATCGAATCTAGGACCATGCCTTGTTGTGTTTGCACACGAAAATTTCCATCTAATTTCCCAGACGTGCAATGGACCAGAGTAAAAGGGATACCCCATTTTGTCCACTGTCGAGTATGCAAAAGACTGCTGATGGCCAGCTACGCAGCCTCGTGCACCGGCATGGTCCATCGTAAGGTGGCAGGTGGCGCTCCTCGAGAAGGCGCTTCTCTAGAGAAGGCGGTTGTTGGAGTCGGCCATGCAAGAGGACCGAATTTGGAAGCTAAAGCCTTGCATGGGAGTTGAGCTGGAGTCCCACCGTAAAGCCCGACACTTAAATCCGAGAAGTTAAAACCCAAGTCTAGCAAAACAGAACGGGAATGGCAAGAACAGCTGAAGCAATGGCAGTAAGGGAAGTCAGTGACAGGCATGACTCATGACTGATTATGTTCTCTGTTGGGAGGAAGCGGTCCTGATGCTGGGCGGGGCAGATCTTGTGCGGGGCTTGGCCGCAGGGTAGGTCTTGGCAGGTTTACGGTTTAGGTTCAGGGATGGATGGATGAGGACTGGACCGGTGATACAAAGTCGAATTCGTGCAGTAGCTATTTTGTTCAAGCTGGGTCTAGTCAGCCCTAGCATCGTTTGCCAGAGCACAGACTGGACATATCGAAACAGAAGGGCAAGGGTACAACTGCAAGCGCCTAGATGCATGAGTTCCATCTGAGGACAGTGCTGAAACGAGGTTGACCCATGTTCACATTTGCATAGATCCATGTGCTACCTGTGACCAAATTGCAGAAAAGGCTTGCAGCGGTCTCAAACTCGCAGCATGATTGATCTGCCAGAGCGCCGGTGGGAGTTCTTCTGGTTGCAAATATGCTTTGCATACACGCTGCTCACATCGCTCTCGAGCCTCATCTACGGGCACATGATGCTTGTGCTGGCGTTTACTATCTTCTTGGCAATATATCCCCAATACGGGCCGACGATGTGTGGAGCTCTCTGCGTTTTTGCTACTCAGATATTGTACCGATGCCACTGGGTCGCATGGCCACGACTTCTGTACCTGTGGCTCATGCAAGTGAATGTGGATCCGATACCCAAGTCACCAGGCTTGGAGACCAGTGCATGCTCCGACCTGAGCAGTGTGGACGACGACGCAAAAGAAGTGGAAAAAGGAGAAGAAACATCATCGGAAGAGGGCAGAAGCGAATCCAGTAGTCAAAACATTTACAAATCCCTCTCTGAGAGCAGGGGGAAAGCGCAGGACAGGCACCTGAGCAACTCCCCCAGACTCTGTCTTGAGAGCGGTCTTCCTGACAACCCGGACGAGGAAGAGTTGTTCGAGTCAGCGCAACCCAAGCGGCTACTTCTGTCGCTCGCCTGCCAGGATTATGACAAGTTACAAGGAACGGAGCACCAGTGGGCAACCTCACTGTCTTCTCCGTTAAAGGACGCGGCCTTGGTGCACGAAGCATTTGAGGAAATTGGGTATCAGACAGTTGGTTCCTTCCAGAATGTGAACTGCTCGCAGTTTCAGGCAGAGTTCGAGGACTTTCTGCAAGGCTTAGACTGCTCCTGCTACGTAATAGCTTTCTTCTTTGCCGGCCATGGCATTGAACACAATTCGCGGTTGGGCTTCCTGCTAAATGATCCAGAGGAAACGATGGTATACTTGGACAGTTTGTTGCAGCGCTTGCACACTAGATTGGACGAACTCCTTCACGTCTCAGCAGAGAATGATCCCATCCGCAGCGCATCTGTCGTGTTCTTCTGCGACATTTGTCGCGAAGGGCGAGGTGCCAGCGTGATCCGCGACCGCCGGGCAGTGAAGAATCCATCACTTCCTGCACCGAGCCGGCAGCAAGCTGTGATCTACTCCTGTTTGAGTGGCGGCCATGCCGCGGACCTGTCTTACAAGACAGGCAACTATGGGCATCTCGCCAAGGCCTTGGCCGATGTTGTGCGCCTGAATGTGCCGAACACGGTCTTCAGCGTGTGCGAGAGCATAAACCGGCGAGTGCAGACGTCTTCGCGCAAGCTCAGGAAGAGGCAAGGCGAACTCTACATGCCGCCGCTGAGTCAGCAGCATGCCGAGCTTCACAGTGACTCAACGTTGTGGGACGATCAATATGACATCTTCGTGGATGATGGGCAGGGGCGGCAGCTGCGGTCATGGATGTTGAAGCTTCGTCACCGTGATGGAGAGAATGAGAGTCGGGTTATTCTATGGAAGGTTTCAGAAACAGAGTCCGAGGAGGACCCTCACAGGCAAAGGATTTTGGTTGAACGCGACCGCTTCATAGCAGCGAAGCAAGAGGAGCGCCGCACTGAGCTAGAAGAGCTTGCAGAGAGAGAGCACGAACGCAGGAGAAGACTACGGCAGCGTGCTAAAGCTCTGAAACAGGCATGTGCTCGAGCCCAGGAGCAAATGGCAGCAGCAAGTAGGCAACATGAGGAAGAACAGCAGCGACTGCAGCGGCAGCATGAGGAAGAAAAACGGTCATTACAGCAGCAGATGGAGGCAGAGAAGCAGCAACTGCAGAAACAGCATGCAGAAGAGCATCTGCGAAGGATGGCTGAAGCTGAGGCCAGGGCTAGAGTTGTATACCAAGACAGAGTTGTATACCAAGACAGAGTTGTATACAGGGATAGGGACCCTGCAACTGTGATCGGGGACGGTCTGGAATTTGGCCGTTGTTTAATGGGTTTGCTTTGTTTGCCTATTCTCTTTCTTTGTTGGCCTCTTCTGGTTGTCGGATGTATTGTACAATGACTTACGCGCTGAACTTTTAAGATGGTTGCACCGGGCAGCCACACCTGCGTATCCGTGAAAGGAGTTTCCGCGGCTTTGTCTTCCCTGGACCAGATTTTTGCTTTTATAGGGGTTTCATATGGTGCCTGCTCAGGGATTATGAGGGGGGTTCCTGTTGAGGAGATTTGTATTTTCGCCCAGGGTGTTTTCGCTGTAACGAAGTCCCAGCTCCGTCTTGACTTTTCCGTCAGACATCTTAAAGGATTGCTGGCAACACTTGGCCAAATGAGCAGCAGCAACCGCGATAGGAGTGCCCCTTACAGGTATCCTCAGCATACTTTATGCAAATGGATATCTTTCGTGACGTCTTCAGCTCATGTTACAGAGCATTCGGCATGGAATGTGTTTCATGTACCGAGAGCGACAAAGTCGTGAAGCCTAAAGAGCTGTAAGTCCACGCAGCAAGCCTTAAACCCCAAACTTTCAAGTTAGTTTGGGCAAGCCTTAGGAGGAATCCCATAGACCTGAAATTCTCAAACCCAAGGCCTGAAATCTGAAAGCAGGACCCTTGACCCTGAACCTCCGATGAACCTGGCTCAGGTAGCATGGCATGAAGGAGCTTAGCAAAGCCGTAGTATACATGCGTGATGTCGATGCTGCGGTACACCGTGCCCACCCCATCTGGCTAGGCAGAAGCCCTCAAAAGCACCGCCTTTCCGGCCTCATATCTTCAAACGGCCAGTCTGATTCTGATAGCCATCATGATGATGATGAGGGTGATGATTCTGAACTTGGCTGTAGTCGCTTTATGTAGATGACGTAGCCTTGCAGTTCGTAGTACTTGTTGTTCTTGCTATTGAGTTTCTTCTTACTGCAATAGTTATTGTTATCGTTGTGTTGATTTCTATGCTTGCTATTGTTGCGATTATTATACAAATTCTGCTCTTGCCTTTGTTGCTAGGTGTTACCAGGTATTGCTGGGTATTACTGGGTATTTCTCCGCATTCGTAGGCACGACTAGGAGTGAGGGCAGCGGCTGGGTAGTCCTAAAGGCATTACGTTGCTGGGTAATACTAAGTGCTGTGAGGTATTACGAGATGATTATGTATTCCTAAGTGAAACCAGGCATTGTTGGGCATTACAGGGCAGTACTGGGTACCACTGAGAATTGCTGGGTATTGTTAGGTGCTGCAAGGTATTGCTAGGCATTGTCTTTTTGGCTATTCTTGCTAGCATCATTTGCCCTACTTTGCTTGTGTTACTATCGGAAACTATTCGTGTTGTTGCTGCTACTTTGCGTTTAGTACAGGTACTATTGCTCGGAGGGCAATAGCCTATTGCAGGTATTCGTGGAGTTACAAGGGCCTTAACTATGATTAGAAGTACCGTTACTCTATTTGTAGCTCCAGTTCCTGTACGACGATGTGTGCGAGTACCCTTCATACTGTTGTTCTTGTTTTTCTTTTTTCAATGCCTGTTGCTATCATTACAATTCTTACATGGATACACGTGCTGCAATGGTTGCAAATGCTGCAAGTACATCAATCCTTCCACCAGAGTCGCGCCCATATTTAGACAGGGATCCTCCTCTTGATAAATTGAGGATTTCAGAAGTCCACCACCCTGGACCCCCTGGGCCCCCCCCCCCTGGACCCTGACCCGAAAATATTGAAATCTAGGGTGTGTTACCGACCTACCCACCCTGCTGCCCCCCCTAGCCCCCCGCCTCTAGCCGCCCTGGCCCCCCCCTTGGACCCCCTGACCCCCCCCCCCCCCTGAAACCTCCCTGGCCACCGCCCCGCAACGATCCCCAGCTTCTGGCCCCTCCTGTGTTCCCCCTTACCTTCACCACACCTTTGTAAGGAAAGCAATGGTGGGAATTGAGGGCGACTGCCCTAAACCCTAAAAGGCAGTGGTTTGGATGGTGGCCTGTGAAAGCTCAGCAATTGCTACAACAATAAGCTGTCAGAGTATTACCTACCACATTCATTACCATTATTGCAGTTTTGACTTGTATTGCTATGTGATATTGTAACTACGAGTTTTTCAATGTTCACGACCCATACGGCTGCTACTCACTGTTTTGTTGCTATTTCTTAACGATTGTTACTAGCATTACTTTTCTGATGCTTATGACTAGTACTATTGTTTTGTTTACTGTTGTCATTCTAATTGTCACCATGACTAGTAGACTTGCTATTGCTACTATCCATACTGCAGTCTTTATTGCACATATAATTAGAAATGTTTCTTGTTGCGATTATGGGAAGCCTTACTCTTCTTACAAGTCCTGCCGTTCATATTCTTCTCCAAGAATACCATACATTTTTAATTTATTGTTTCTTACCATGATTCTAACTCTTCTAAGTCTTCTTACAGTTATTGCCCCTTCTCACTATCCTTATTATTGTGGTTCATGACTATTTCGACTATCAATGCTAGCACTTCTTGGTTTACTACCGCACCGACTAGGGAGACGCCATAAAGTGGAGGCCTGACAAGGACTACCTCCATCACCATTAGCCTAAATGCTCAACCCCTACACCTCTACCTAAACGGGCATTGCAAACAGACTTCTGGGGTCTCAGGACTGGGATGAATGCCGAAAGACCTCCCCCTACCCTAAAATTGTCCTGAACTCTTAAGCCTTTAGCCCTTATACCGCGCATACTGTAAAACCAGTAAGGCCTAAACCCTGCAGCCCTTCAAGCCCCCTGAAACCCTTAAGCCCTTCAGCCGTGATTTTCGACGCCATGCTCCGTTGCCTGGGCCACGTGAAGCCCCACCGCCCTGTCGCCGCGCGACACTGGGCGTGGGTTTAGGGTTTGGGGCACAGGGTTTGAGGGTTTGAGGAGGGCATTCTGCAGCCACAAGAGTATGATCAAAGCCCTGGAGGCTCCCTCCTGAAACCTCCATCCTGATCCCTCTGAATCCCCGATCCATGGTCCATTTGGACCTCAGGATTCGCGGCCATGATTAGCCAGGAGCGGCGTGAGAAGATGGAGAGGCTCGGCCGTTCAGGTGTTCGGGACTGTTTTTCAAGAGCCCAAAACCATTTGGATGTTTTGTAGCACCATGACACACTGTATTTCTTGATTCGCCAACCCCAAGGCACTAGAATCTAGTACTGCGCGAGCTGATAAGCATGTCTTCTCGTCTTTTCAGACCTACGCCAGTGGACGATCTGGGATCGTAGACAGTGTGTTGGAGGTTGGGTGCTTTTGCTAAGTGTCGCCTTGAGCTTTGCCGCTGTGCATCGGCACAACAAGCTCCAAACCCTAGGTGGAATTTCTATGGTTATACGAGTCAGAATACTACTGACGGTATGGGGAGGCAAAGCTGGCAAGTCGTCGGCAGCCACTCTGCGACCAAGCTCTGTCGCTGGACGAAGTCAATGCTGCAAGGCGGCGTGTCACCTGGGCATTTCCAAATATCGGGGGTCCCTCTCACATACCCCCCTCAAATGCTGAACAACCTTATTCTAGGAAGCCCCCCCCCCTCAAAACACATGAATGGAATAATCAACACTTCGGCACCGAATGTCAAGAAATCATCGGACCAATTCGGACCCTAAACCTAGAACCAGGAGCTTCACGCAGGTCTCCATCCAAAGGCACTGCTCACGATTTTCATAAGTTGCAAAGAGGGTGACGTTCTAAACCGAAACCACTTGCCCCCCCCTCAACCTGAGATCCTGAGTCGATCCCAATGTGATGAGGCAAAGGGGGCTGCTACAAGCACACCTTCTACGGGATCGCCTCTCACCGGTGCATGGAACACACCCCGAACGTCTCCTGCGCTAACAAGTGCGTTTTCTGCTGGAGGAACCACATCAATCCCGTGGCAATGGACTGGAAGTTTGATACAGATGACCCCGAAGAGATCTTAGAGGAGTCGCTGCGGAAACACTACAGCACCATCGAGAAGCAATGCTTGTCCCCAAATGCCTTGGAGGCCCGCAAGGAAGAGGCTCGACAGGTGCGGCACTGCGCACTCTCCCTAGTGGGCGAGCCTGTCGCGTACCCGCGCATCGCAGAGTTTGTGGCCGCCCTGCATCGACGCCGCATCTCCTCATTCCTGGTCACCAACGGCCAGTTCCCGGAGGCCCTGCGCCAGCTGCCACGAGTGACGCAGCTCTATCTGTCTTGCGATGCTGCAGACCGCCATCACCTGCAGCAGGTGGGTCATTTCTTCATGGTACGAATGGTTTAACTCCGCGTCCTCAGCCCATCCATGCACTCGTTCACGGGTTCTTCCCATAGTTCTGCAGCATGCTCGCCCTGGCTCAGGTGGGAAGGCCCCTATTCAAGGACTTCTGGGAGAGATACTGGCCTGCCCTTCAGGAACTTCAGTTAAGTGACCATAAAGAAAGTGCAATTATGTAGTTCAGATCATGGTCTCCTTACTAACTTATATACCATATTCAGGTATCTGCAATGATAGATTTTTGTTAACCCTAGACCCTAAACTAGCCCCTGCGCAGTGGCCAAGAGTGGTCAGGGCAGGTGGCAAAAAAAGTCCCTAAACCCTAAACCCTAGGTTTCTTTGAGACCCTAAACTCAGGATACCTGGAGTCCATGGAAATTCTTCGCGACCGCACGGAGCGAACCGTCTGCCGGCTGACGCTGCTCAGGGATGTCAACATGGGCTCCCCTTCCGAGTGGGCATCCCTGCTGAGGCGGGGTTTTCAGGGTTTTTACAATTTGGGGGGGGGGGAGTTAAGGGTTTTAGGCTGTAGGTTCATAACCTGCTCACCATTGTTATGAGGGCTTGGCCCCTGAAAGCTGGATCTGGAGGTTCTGCCGTTTGCCCGCTCTTGCCTTGCAGGGGAGCCGATCAACTCTTCCAAAGCCTCCCCTCCAAGTTTTCTTTACTCCCTTGCTCTCGACATAGTGCTTTGTGAGGCCCCCACGTTCGTCCTATTCTCAGGGACAAGGATGGGTTTCCTCCTTCAATCCTTACAAACAAAACCTTTAAGCAAAGGCGACAGCAAGGGTACGAGTCATAGATTTTGGGGGAGAACCTAGGGCGTGGAAACTGGGCCAGGCGCTGCGAGCCCGATTTCATCGAGGTCAAGGCTCGCATGCTGGGGGTCTGAGGAGGTTCTGAACCCAAAACCGAAACCCTAGAAGCCCCTAAACCCTATAAACCCAAGAAACCCTCAAAATCTAGAAACCCTTTAATCCCTAGAAACCCAATAAACCCTGGAAACCCTAGTTCAAAACCCCGAAGCCCATGACTCCACCTTTGCCATCCAACCCTGAGCCTCCAACTACCAAAAACGCCCCCGTCCTTCGAACCCTCCTGAACTCCACCCTTTGCCCCTCTCCCCCCCCCCTAACCCTAAACCCTAAACCCTAAACCCTAAACCCTAAACCCTAAACCCTAAACTTGGAGGGCGTGACCATGGCCGGGCTGTTTGCCAAGAGTGGCCTGGGCACCATGAGCCTCAGCTTCTCCCGCGGCGCTGGCGGGTTTCGGGCTTTGCTGAGCTGGCGGGTTTTAGGGGCTTAGGGTTGGCAGAGTTGAGAAGAAAGGGCTTTGTTCCAGGGTCTGTAGGGTGCAGAGATGCATACTGGTAGCTCTATAGGTTCACAGAGGGTTTTCGCGCTCTTTTTGCGAGGATACGAGCAAGCCTGTTGCAAAGGGTTCTGGGGATTTTGGATGGGGTGCCGCTCGGACACAACTAGTCCAGTTGGATTCGCGCCGATTCACAGCGCAGGGTTCGGATACGCGTAAGGGTTCAGGAACCATGAGCCTCAGCTGGGTTCCCCCAACTTTTGGTCTTTGTAAGTGTTGAGGGCCAGGTTTTTAAGGTTAAAGGGCCTGAGGCCTCCAGGATAAAGGGACTTGGGAAATGGAAAAGACTTTGGGCTCAGCATATTTTGGGTTTACGACACCGTCTCTCCCTCCCTCCTCTATCTCTCTCTCCCTCTGTCTCGCTGTCTCGCTCTCCCTCGCTCTCCCTCGCTCTCTCTCGCTCTCTCTCGCTCTCTCTCGCTCTCTCTCGCTCTCTCTCGCTCTCTCTCGCTCTCTCTCGCTCGCTCGCTCTCGCTCGCTCGCTCGTTCTTTCTCTGTTTCTCCATCCTCCGTCCCTCCTTCCCTCCCTCCCTCGCTCTCTTCTGCCCTTTCTCTCTCCCTGTTCTCCCTCTCTAAACCCTTGCACCTGAATTCTAAACCTGTCAGCAACCCCGTAGCTTTACTCTCTAAGGAAGCCTCATGCAGAGACTCCTCGAAGAAGGGAATAAGGCTTCCCTCCCTCCCCCTCCGACCCCTTCCCCCAAAAACAAAAACAAAAACATGGTCCGAGACTAAACCTGCTTGAGTATGAGAAGGTCACAATAGAGGCTATAGTCGAACACAAGCCTAAGAGAGCAGTGACGTGCAAAAAGCCAGCAGGTAAACTTCAAAGCCTCAAGTGGACTTAGGAACATGCCCACGCACCTCGAAGTGAAGCAGCTTCTTGGCAAGGCCAAGGAGTTTCTTGAACAGGCTTCCGACATGGTTTTCTCACGAGAGGCCCCCAAAACCTCACACCATCTCACCTGCCTAGTACTGAAGAGAGCTGCCACATCAGGCACAGAAAGCTGCGGCCCAAACCCGACAATCCCACTTAGAGGGATGTTGCACCGCGTAGCAGCCGGCACTTAAGTTGATGAGCTGGTTTCACTTCTTGTCTCTCTGCGTATGTGGACTCACGTAGTGATGTTGTGTGGCCGAAGCACGCGCAAACTGTGGCGATGTGATTGCTGATCTCGTGTGCGCTGTGGAAATGATGTATTTGATTGTGTGTGTGCCATGATGCGCTGTAGACCTGGAAACCCCTACCCCCCCCCCCCCCCCCCCCCCCACCCCCCACCCCCGCCTCGCCACCCTCCCCCCCATACAAAGCCCAAGGGAGGTGTTATTTTTACAGGCCATGTTCAGTATTGTTCTAGCTGATGACTAGAGTACAGAGAAGAGCAGCCGAGGTTTGCCGAAGCTCTTTCTGCGGAGCTACCAGGCTACAGCCTGTGCTGTGAGCACGAGCACTCCAACTCGGCGTTGGTGGCCTCTGAGCGTTTCCATGACGGTGAGGGCTGGAGGAGCGCGGTTCTGGGGGGTGAGCTCGAAAATTGGAGGGCTTCGGGTCCCCAAAAGTAGTGCAACAGCAACGAAGCCCATATCAGACACATGGGTATGTTGCAAAAAGAAGGGGTATCCCGCGATGGCCCCAAAGCAGAATTCAGTCCTTAATTACCAAAGGCCTCCCCCCCTCCCGCCTCCAGGACATCATACTTGCCGCAAATACGGCTATAATCACCTATAATCGTTCTTAATCGTATTACTCTACTACGTACGTTCCATAAGCATACCCGGTCCATAAGTATAACCCCAGTTGTAACTACCAACATGAACGTCCGAGAAGGGTTTAGGCGTAGACATTCGTGGCACCATGGCGGCTCAAGCCTTTTGTTCCTTGTATACTAAACCCAACTACTTTGTGTTCAGGGTGTGGGGACAAAGTGAAACCCTAAATGCCCTACATGAGGGCTTACGAAAACCGGGGCCCCCCTAATATAGGCCACCAAATAGTAAGATTCCCTTATAGCAAGACCTCTATAAGGTACCCCGAATGTCGGAAACCCCCATATGGCTACCCTAAACCCTCAACCCCAATACCCCAATACCCCAATACCCTAATACCCTCATACCCTAAACCCTAATACCCTAAACCCTCTGCACGTGAGGACCTGGATCGACTTCGAGCACTTCGCGGACTCTTGGGAGTCTGCGGAGCTGACGGCTCAGGACCGCTTAAACGGAGTCCCGCTAGGGGTTTAGGGTTGAGGGCTGTTTAGGGCTTAGGGGCCCCCTAACATGCGGAGACCCCCTGCCGCTGCAGCTGTGGCAGCTCTTTGGGGGCGCAAGGCTGTAGTCGGCAGTCGGCGTCTTGGACTTCGTTGTTGGTCGCGATTCCACGATTGACAGCTTAAATTGTAGTCGTTGTAGTCATCTCATTATGGAAGCTTTTGGCGTTTCTCAAGTCGGCCATCAAGCGCCAAGCGCACACCACCCTTTAAAGCCAGTAGCCCTCAGGACTACACGTCGCCGACGCCCGACTGGGCTTTGCTGGGATCTCCTGGCGAGGGGTTCGCGCCCACGGAGACAAGGAAGCTACGTGCCCGACCTCGCCCCGTCCTCTCTGAAGAGAAGGAAACTTGGCAGAAGTGCATGGTTCAGTGGTTCCCCTGCTTCTTCTGCAGCGGTTTGCATAGAATTTTGTGTGTACTGCAGAGAATCACACCTCGCTTAAACATAAAATGTCTTTGGTAGTTTTTTTGCCATGATGACTTGAACCATGCTCCCCAACCAAATTCCCAATCGTTCGCTTGGCTTTGCTGCTGAGCGGCCGTGTGGGACGAGGGTCGACGGTGGCCTAGTTATCCCTGAACAAACAAGGGTGACGTTTTATGGGGGTTTCCGAAAATAGGGGTAACCTTGTGGGGGTTTTCAAAGTTTCATATTTTTCATGTTCAGGATTCCAGTAGTTTATTGGGGCTACATCAAGGGGTACACCTACCTTGAGAATTACCCATTGGAGCTTGAAAACTGGCAGACGAGTCTGCCCTAAGCACCTCAACCCTAAACCCCTAAACCCTAAACCCTAAACCCTAAACCCTAAACCCTAAGCCGCTGGGCAACCGTCAACCCTCAACAACCCTCAACTCCGCCCAGTCCGGCCCCAGGAGAATTGGCGCCAGCGATGGGCATCCGAGCCGAAGGCCGTAGATCTTGGGAAGCTGAGCCCAGAACTTCCCTAGGTAGGCCCTAAACCCTAAACCCTAAACCCTAAACCTTGGGATATGTCATGTTTGCCCTTGTTGGGTTCTAAAGGATCTTATATAGGAATGTTTTTGTCAGAGGGTTTTTGGGGCCATCCTCGTTCCCCAAGAAGCTTAATGCAGTACACGTAGGTCTCGGATTTCGTCTGCTCCGGAATTGTATTCTTTGGCTTCTGTAATTCAAGTTTGGCTAAAAGTTAAGGTTAGCTGAGGAGTTCTGGGAAGGTGCTTCCGGCGCCGGCTGCCCGCCCTGGAGCAGAAATAAGCCGCACTCTGCGGGGGGGGGGGGGGGGGGGGGGGGCACCTCGGGGCTACAGGGTTCCATGCCAAAAGGATTCCCCCTAAACTCCGCAAACCTTAGACCGTCCTAGACCTTTCATCCTTTTTGTAGTGGTTCGCGCCATCAGCCCCCCATCCCAAGGGCCATCCAGGGCCATGTGTTTGTGGGTATTCGGGGGCCGCCTCATAATGGTAACCCCAAAAAAGGACCGTATTTAAGCAAAGTGACCATGTAAGGTTGAGGGCTTGGGGTGGGTTCGTGGGTCCAGCTTCCTAAACCCTAAACCCTTAAACAAGGTCCAGGCGAGCCTAGATGGTTGAGGTGTACCGAACTAAGGGACTTCCTACATTTATTGCGCTGTTGCTGTTCTGGACACTCAGCTATAAAATTCAGAAACTGTCTCAATCGAACAGTTTAGCCCTAAACTTTGAGCATTGGAGGGGTTTGTGCTTCGAAGCCGGGTCGTCAGGGGCGAAAACTAGGACCCAGAGTAGGCCCTTATTCGCTGTTTTCAGGGTGTAGGTTTCCGAATAAGCCCCTTTATAAGCCAACCAGGGCTCCCAATTTATTCCTAGGTTACTCTTGGGTCCAGAAACGTCTGGTTCAGGGATGCTTCACATACCCTAGAATGCCGCCCCGACGAACAGAGCGCAGAGCTTGAAGTGCAACGCGGCTTCATAGGGGCAGCTTTGAGCACGATCTTACCTTTTGAGCGACCCTAGTATGATAGCGCGAACTCATAAGGGACCACAACTTGGACAGACCCTAAACCCCTGTTGAGGAGGCAAACAACTTAGGGCTTGGTGTTGAATTTGCATTAGCCATTCTCAGAACTGCAAAAGGCATCAGGGGGGGGAGGGGAGTTTCCAGCCCGGCCTTTTCTTGTTTGCCTGTGAGAACCTCGCACCTGCATCATGAGAAGCCCATGGTTGAGGGTTTAGGCGTTTCGGTTCCGTGAACTGCTTGAACGTCACAAATGTCACGCAGCTGCTTGATGGTTCTGGACTGAATGGAGCCTTGGAAATGCGAAACCCCAGAACCCAAAACCGCAGCCCCGCAGAGTTAGAAGGCACCTCGCTGCCACCTCGCGAGCCGAGACGCCGAGCGATGGCCCAAATTGTGGAGGCATCCAAGGAGCCAGTGCCAGCTGAAGCTCCGGCGGTGCCTGTAGAGGAGGCCACTATCCCTGTGAAGGTGCTGAATCTCGCGGGCCGAGAGGCGCAGTTTCTGAAGCTTGGGGAGCCCCCCCAAAAAAGAAGGAACAGCCATGAGAACGTGCCTGCCAGGTGCTGGCGTGCCATCTTCATGCTGGGAGCACGGTGCACGAGATCAAAACACAGGTGGCTTTAGCTGGCGGCCCAGACGTGCGCCTTCAGATGCTCTCCTTTGACGGCTGCGTGCTGAAGGATGCCACAACATGTCACGCGTTCCTGGGCCTCGAAAGGGTAGGTTCAGGCATGTTCGGGGCCGAGCGTTGTGTGGTACAATCGGCAGTCACTCTGACGATTAGCACATGTGGCATAGCCCGGAAGGTTGGGATGGACTGCAGCTGAGCCTGCCACGCTGACCATGACACGCGTGCTTCCGGACGTCGACAAGTGTTTAGCCGGCCTCATGGACCCTTTTTACAAGAAAAAGCCATCGAGGCTTTCGCTCATGGAGCTGCACACACTGTGCTGCCACTGCAAGGACATTTTCCTGTCGGAGCCAATGTTGCTGGAGCCAGACCCACCTTTGGTCATTGTAGGTCGTCTACATGGTTACTTCGACCAGCTGGTGAAGCTTCTTGAGAGATGCGGAGGGCTGCCTGACACTCACTACTTGTTCCTGGGCGGCTACGTGAACAAGGGAAAGCGAAGCATCGACACCATTACATTGCTGTTTACGTTCAAAAGCATGTATCCGGACAGTTTGTTTTTGCTCCGCGGCTGCGACGAGGATGCTTCAATGTGCAGGTACTATGGCTTCTATGAGGAGTGCCAGAGGCAATTCAACATCAAGCTTTGGAAGGCCTTTGTGGAGGCCTTCAATTGCATGCCCGTGTGCGCCTTGATCCGTGGAAAAATCTTCTGTGTTAGCAGCGGGCTTTCTCCTGATATGACAGATCTCGCTTGTATCCGACAGCTAAAACGTCCTTACCACGTGCCGGAGAACGGCCTGCTTTGTGACTTGCTCTGGGGGGTTCCGGAGGAGCAGGGTGGCTGGTCAAAAGGTCCTTTTGACATTTCCTATGCCTTTGGCGAGGATGTGGTGAAGCGGTTTGTCGAAGAGATGGGTCTGGAACTGATTGTTCGGGGCAACCAACACGTCGTTGATGGCGGCTATGTGCCCTGACTGCCCTGGTTTTTTTGACCCTGAGCCCTATGCCTAAGTCTAAGCACCAGAGACCCTAACATCTTTCTAGGGTTGGGTTGCGTCGGTGGTTCTCGGATACTATCCATGCGCAGATCCGGGCAGGCGAGCTGATAATCGAATGACACGACATGATAGATTCCCCCGCTCGACTCAATACAGGCATACTTTGCTGACGAAAAGATGGTGAGCATTTGGAGCATCTACAGTTGGGACTGGGACGAGCCGCACTACGACAACCATGCTGCTGTGGTAAAGATCTCGGATCACCTGGGCGTTGATTTCGAGGACGAAGGGTGCCGAAACATCTGCTGCCTTCAGAAAGCCACTTAGCATTAGCCCTAGCTTGAAAAGCCGAAATTGCGGGTATATGAATATAGATGTAAGGCAGGACAGAAGCAAGGAGGGGACAGAGGAAGGGGCTCAACCTAGGAGGCAGAAGATGTACCACAGAGATCTTTCGGACCAGCAAACCCCCTCAAACAAACCTTGACATGGAATAGAGGCCATCTGCAAATCGTCCTTGGATGAAGTTGTTTGTTAGCCGGTTAGCATTCGGGGTTGGTAGTTTTAGGATGCAGGACTCTTACATTTACGTACACCGGACGCAACACCTCCAACTTGCAGCTCGGACCTCGCAGTCCAGACTAACACCTCCATTAGGACACCCTGAACTTCAAAACAAAAGAGCCTGGCTCCTCGGTTTTCTCTCTTGACCGGTTTCTCTTCCTGGGCCTGGTCCCTTCTGTTTCTTCCATTCTTGGTCCAGGGATGTGCAAACAGTCCCACTCAACAATAGGGCTTCGAGTTCGAGCCGAGCTCCTGCGAGCTCCTACCCGAAGGCCCATGAAGGCCCATGCCTTGGCTCCGACAAACACACGTCAACTCCAAATCCGAAGCCCCAAGCCCTGCATTGTGCGAAGAATGATGAGGAGTATAAAAAGAATTTAAGCAACTAAGTAGAAGAATAACAGAACAAAACACACAAATAGAATGCAACAAAAACCCTAAACCCCCTAAATGCCTAACAGGTGTTCGACAAGGTGAGCTCCGCCGGCCTTGGCTTCGCGCGGAGGCCGCGCCAGGATCTCGGCTAGAGCCCACGAGGCCGCACCCAGCTTTTCGGAAAGAAAGCCGGGGAAGGCAGCTCGGGGGGTCTAGGGTTAAGGTCCACCGTTGCAGCCACTACTAATTGAAATCATCACTTCTACCACGAATTACCACCGCTACTGCTACGACGACAACGACGACGACTCCTCCTCCTCCTGCTGCTGCTGCTGCTACTACGACTACTACTGCTGCTCCTCCTCCTGCTACTACTCCTCCTCCTCCTCCTCCTCCTACTCCTCCTCCTCCTCCTCCTGCTGCTGCTGCTGCTGCCACTGCTGCTGCTGCTGCTGCTACCATTCCCACTACCTAGCCTAGCTACTACTATCATCAGCCCCGAAACCGAGTTGAGAGCGGCCGACAGCGCTCACTGGGTTCCCCTCATGAAATGTAACTTTGACTAAAAGGTTCAGGAGAAATACAGTTTCGAAGGATACGCGCATATAATATATATATATATATACATATACGATGATGATGATGATGATGATGATGATGATGATGATGATGATGATGATGATGATGATAATTATAATATATATATATATATATATAATCATATATCTATACATCCCGAGCTAATCCTAAACCCTCATCTCCATCTTTTTCAATCCTTAGCCGCAGCGTCCTTGGGTCCCTACTTGCAAGTTGAAGAAGATGAAGTGATCTAGGGGTTTAGGGAAGTGCATCCTCGAGATGTCGGTTTCTAGGGCTGTTTAGGGACAACTCGCCGCGGAGCCAAGTTTAGGAACGTTGTCGTGGTCGAAGGGTTTGGGGATTGTGAGGGTTGGCAGAGTTATAACAAAATCACGGTGCTTGCCATGCTCAGACTCGATGCTCTCAAACGCCAGACACGCATGTCCGTCATCACTCCGTGGTCTTGCAGTTCAGAACCAGGGCCCTTTCCCACTTCAGCAGAAAGAGTGGCGTTGGGACTTTGAGAGTTTCCATTGCAAAGTTAGCAGAGGGACTGCTGACGGTCATGGAGCCGCCATCATCAACCTTGCCACCGGCCCACGATGTCGGCGAGGCGCAATCCCCCCCAAGCATACCCGGAGGGCACGGAGACGACAAGGCGCCGGATGATGAACCCGCCGCCAGGGCATCCGAAAGGAACCATTTCAATGCTGCGGTTGCTCAAATCTTCCAAAGGGGGTTTCCCTAATAGGGGTGCCTTTTTTGAGGGGGCATTCTTGTAACAGGCTCCTTCTTTTTTCGGGTGTGTTTTTCGGGCATACCTTCTTGTGGGAAATGCCCAAGTGCACGTGTAGTCGAGGCAGTGGCTACAGAGGCCAACATCCCCGTGACTGTGCTGACGTTGGCAGGTCGCGAGGCGCGTCCTTTGCAAGCTGATAGTCACACTGCGCAGAGAACACAGACATGCATGTATGCGCTTTCAGCATTGGTCACGTTAGAAGGATACAGAAAGGCGGAGCATGTCAATGCACAATGTGACAACAGCTGTTCAGTTCAACCTCGGCAAACTCTACGCCCAAGTCCTATCTCAGACGATGTCGTTGGCCGACCGAGACCCGATGGATTTGACGCACGACTCGTCCATCCCCCCTAAACCCTAAGCTCAACAGTTCCTAGGGCCCTTAAGGCTTACAAGCCTCACACCATATAGGGCCCCCTTAGTTTCAAGTTCTCTTGCCGTCTTCTTCAAGCACCCTGAGGTGGCCTCCCTGCTCTTAAATGCTGAGATGAGGATCCTCGTCTCCAGTTGATCTGCTTGGTAGCCCAGTGGTGCCCTTGAAACTTCTTTTGATTACATGGGTTCCCTTAGAAAAGAAAACCCCAAAAGCGTGCCCTTGTCATAATATGGCTACTGCGCTACTAAGTCTGGAGTTGGGCCAGGTTTAGGGCTTTGCGTTTAGGGCGGCTAGTGCTGGGTTCTGAGTTGGAGACGTGGCGCTTGACGGTGTCCTTGCCAGGCTTGTGGAGTCTGGGCTGAAGGTGAGAAAAGCCTTCGCAGCAGTATTGTGTCAACCTGAACCCCCAACTACCTTGAAGCTTAGCTGCTGGGTAGCTAACCTTTAACCTTTTTAGATAGAATCCTAGATTCCATCCAGGTCTCGAAGAAGCAGCATAGAGTGATCTAAGCCCTGAACCCTAAGCCCGCACAGATTCGGGAGCTAGGCGCCCTATACATGATCCGTTGAGGAGGTATACGTGGGATGTAGGGGATACCGAGTTCCCTGATTCTCGATTTCCCTGTTTGGAACTTTAGAAGTGAATTGAAGGTTCCACTAACTTGTGCGCCATTCTGCGTCCAGTCTTGTCACTGTGGAAGCGCCAGCATGCGGCCGTTGACCGTCCACAGTGTTGCCGGCTCCACATTTGAGCTCCATGTGGACGATGCGGAAACGGCGCTGGCTGTGAGGAGACGCGTCGCAGAAAGTGTGGGCTTTTCCACAGCATCTCTCGTGCTGACTTCAGGTGGGCGTCTCCTCGAACTGCACCAGCCACTGCTGCAACAAACTCAAAACCAAGAGCTCACATATGTGGTGCGGAAAGATGGCGCAGGCTGCGCGGCACGCAGCCTAAAACGAGCATTAGCGAAGACAGACATGAATCAAGACACGGACGCCATAGATGTCATTGTTGCCTTGACCTTCGGCTATGAATTCAACCAGAGCTTGGAAGGGGTGCAGCTTCCCAGCGGCCTACAGACCTTGACCTTCGGCCATTGTTACAACCAGAGCTTGGAAGGGGTGCAGCTTTCCAGCCGCCTACAGACCTTGACCTTCAGCCATTGTTACAACCAGAGTTTGGAAGGGGTGCAGCTTCCCAGCAGCCTACAGACCTTGACCTTCGACCACGATTTCAACCAGAGCTTGGCAGGGGTGCAGCTTCCCAGCGGTCTACAGACCTTGACCTTCGGCCACTGTTTCGACCAGAGCTTGGCAGGGGTGCAGCTTCCCAGCGGCCTACAGACCTTGACCTTCGGCCATGGTTACGACCAGAGCTTGGAAGGGGTGCAGCTTCCCAGCGGCCTACACACCTTGACCTTCGGCCATTGTTACAACCAGAGCTTGGAAGGGGTGCAGCTTCCCAGCGGACTGCAGACCTTGACCTTCGGCTATACTTTCAACCAGAGCTTGGAAGGGGTGCAGCTTCCCAGCGGGCTGCAGACCTTGACCTTCGGCCATTATTACAACCAGAGCTTGGAAGGGGTGCAGCTTCCGAGCGGCCTACAGACCCTGACCTTCGGCACCTGTTTCAACCAGAGCTTGGAAGGGGTGCAGCTTCCCAGCGGCCTACAGACCTTGACCCTCGGCCATTGTTTCAACCAGAGCTTGGAAGGGGTGCAGCTTCCCGGCGGCCTGCAGACCTTGACCTTCGGCAGTAGGTGCAAGCAGCGTTTCGAAGGTGTGCAGCTTCCCAGCGGTCTACAATCCTTGACCTTCAGCTATGAATTCAACCAGAGTTTGGAAGGGGTGCAGCTTCCCAGCGGCCTACAGACCCTGACCTTCGGCCACTGTTTCAACCAGAGCTTGGAAGGGGTGCAGCTTCCCAGCGGCCTACAGACCTTGACCCTCGACCATTGTTACAACCAGAGCTTGGAAGGGGTGCAGCTTCCCAGCGACCTGCAGACCTTGACCTTCGGCTATTATTTCAACCAGAGCTTGGAAGGGGTGCAGCTTCCCAGCGGCCTGCAGACCGTGACCTTCGGCTTTGAGTTCAAGCAGAGCTTGGCAGGGGTGCAGCTTCCCAGCGGCCTACAGACCTTGACCTTCGGCCACTGTTTCAACCAGAGCTTGGAAGGGGTGCAGCTTCCCAGCGGCCTACACACCTTGACCTTCGGCCATTGTTACAACCAGAGCTTGGAAGGGGTGCAGCTTCCCAGCGGACTGCAGACCTTGACCTTCGGCTATACTTTCAACCAGAGCTTGGAAGGGGTGCAGCTTCCCAGCGGGCTGCAGACCTTGACCTTCGGCGATTGTTTCAGGCAGAGCCTGGTAGCAGTGCAGCTTCCCAGCGGACTACAGACATTGACCTTCAACCTTTGTTTCAACCAGAGTTTGGAAGGGGTGCGAGCGGCCTACAGACCCTGACCTTCGGCACCTGTTTCAACCAGAGCCTGGAAGGGGTGCAGCTTCCCAGCGGCCTACAGACCTTGACCCTCGGCCATTGTTACAACCAGAGTTTGGAAGGGGTGGAGCTTCCCAGCGACCTGCAGACCTTGATCTTCCGTGCAGACTTCGACCAGATCTTGGAAGGGGTGCAGCTTCCAAGCTCCTTATTGCGCTTCTCCTCACGCATGTTTCAGGTAGACACGCTTTAACTCGGAGAGCCCGCTGCCGGAAAAAATAAATTATGAAGGCAGTCAGGACAGACATGCTTGGGCGACTTGGTTTGAACACTGATCTCCTATCTTGATCTAATCCCTACCCACTTGTGAAGGCATGTCTCCTGAACCAACGCCCGAACAAGAACATGTTCTGCGTTTCCTTTACAGGCAGTCATGTCCGGAATGAGTCCCTGCAATGTGGAGTGTCAGCTTGCGGGTGGCAAGAACTGCGCCCTGTAAACGCCAAACTGAACCCTGAACCCCGTGAAGATGGTCGGACAATCCTTTCGTAGACTTGGTTGTCGTGCGCGAGTGTGGGAGTCGAAGAACAACCCGTCCACAACTGGTGGGCTTAGGGTTAAGGGTTAAGGGCTAGGGTCAGCATGAAGGACTTAGGGAGCTTCTGCGAAGCAGAGTATTGCACGCAGCCTGGTAGCAAAGAGGCCCAGTTGCAAAAAACACCCTAGACCCTAAACCCTGCTAGGCGGGTGGCAAAAAAACACCCTAAACCCTAAACCCTCAACCAAGGATCCGTAGCCTGAAGAATCGCATCGCGGCAGCTGGCGGCCCCGAAGCGCGACTCCAGGCGGAAGGCTTTGTACAGTTTGGGGCTTCAGGGACTTGGGGCTTCGGGGGCTCGTAGCTTAGGGTTTGAATTTCGGAGCTGGGGGGCCAATAGGCTGAAGACTCCCGGATGGAAGCTGGGGCCTGAAATTAGCATAGAGGCATGAGAGTATACCTACATTCGGGTTCTAAGAGGATAACATTGCTGGATACTTGAGGCTCCTGCATTCGCGCCCTTACCCCTACCCCTACACCTAAACCCTGCCAGGCAGGTGGCAAATAAGCCCTGCTAGGTGCTATCCTGCGGGAGCCAGGTGCCGCTCGGGACGATCTCGGACATGTTTTGTTGAGCTTGTTTGGTTTGGAGGGTTTCCCGGTTTGGATGCAAGGGTGCGGGGTCCGAAGCCCCTTAAATTATGAACATCCCCTCTTAAATCATTCTTGAAGCAAGCAAGGTCCTTAATGGAGTTCAGCTATAGGGAAGATTCGTTGCTTAAGGGGATGTTTGGGAAGACTGAGGCTTCAGGACACGGAAACTTGCGGAAGCTTGGGATGGACCGGAGAAGAAGCAATTACAGTGACCGTGGCGCGCGCCCTTCCAGATGTTGACGCATGTCTGGCCACCTTCTTGAACCCAAGCCATGTGGAGAGGACAGATCAGCCGGCAACTTGCAGCTAAATGAGGCCATGTGATCTAATCGGTGGCCGCGCGCACGCTTCTTAGCTTTCGCGCATGGCTCGCGAGAATCGCGCTTCTAACTCGAGGATGTTGAATTTCCGCTCGGAAAGATTTTTCATGAAACTCACCGGAAAAATTTAGAAACTACGTTAGCTATGGATCTTGTGGGATGGCGGGTTGGATTTGAAGGTTTTTTTCTTGCCCAGATGTAAATAGCACAACGAGCATTTGTCAGACATTCACCTTTCTAAAGCAAGAGCCCAGGCACTTCCAGATGACTTGATCTACCAGTTGACGCTCCTGTGCGGCCGGTGCAAGGAAATCTTTCTGGCAGAGTCCATGCTGCTGGAGCTAGAGCCTCCGTGGGTTGTTGTAGGCAATATGCATGGCTACTACGATCAACTTCTGAGACTCTTCAAAAGGTGTGGCGATCTGCCTGACACCCGCTATCTGTTTCTAGGTGGCTACGTCGACAAAGGTAGGAGGAGCTTGGACACGATCGTGCTTCTGCTCCTGCGGAAGACGCAGTATCCTGACGACATCGTGCTTCTACGCAGCAACCATGAGGAGGCGTCCATGACGAGGATCTATGGCTTCTATGATGAGTGCAAGAGACGTGCCAACGTCAAGCTATGGAAGTGTTTCATGGAGGCCTTCAACTGCATGCCAGCGTGCGCCTTGATCCGCGAGAAGATCTTCTGTGTTTGTGGCGGGCTCTCCCCTGAACTGACACATTTCGATCAGATCCGGCAGTTGACACGGCCGACTGTTGTGCCTGATAGCGGCCTTCTTTGTGATCTCGTGTGGTCCGATCCCCATGCTGAGAGTGGCTGGGTTGAGAATGATCGAGGCGTGTCATACTGTTTCGGCCCGGATGTCGTGCAGAAATTCGTCGAGAGTATGGGTGTCGACCTCATCGTCCGGAGCCACCAGGTCGCGATAGATGGGTACGTGCCTTGGAAGGTTTATTTGCGCTGTATTTGGGGTTGCTTCTGGGAATCGTTTCTTGCCTTGATGGGTGGAGTGGCTGAGAAGCATGGACCCTCCACAGCCTTTTACCGTAGTAGAGATCCAAAGTCTGCAAGGCAAACAAGAAGAAAGAAACCTTAGATTCTCCTAGCATTCTGCTTGTACCGCCTTGCGTAAGACTTGAAATTGGCCCCCCACCCCCTCCCCCCCACTCGGACCCCAAGTGTTTTGGCGACTCGACGCCGCTTCTTCCGTAAAAACAAAGAGAGCCCCCTATGCCACAGGAGTTCGCCGCAGATAGGAAGCTGGTGACGATCTGGTCCATCTACAACTTCAAAGGGGAGATCGGGAACCCGGCCGGGCCTGCTAAGTCCTCGAGGGGGTGAGGGTTTAGGGTTACGGGTTTAGGGTTTAGGGTGGTGTTGAGATTCAGGATGTGGGGTGTTTGCCCTAATAGGGGTTGCCTGATTATACCCCGAAGTAGAAGAATCCTAACCCCCCAAAAGATCACTGTACCCCTATTTTCAAACCCCATATGTGTGGGGTTGTGAAGTCCTTTTCAGAGGGAACTTTGTCAGGCTTGGAGTCCACTGCGGCTGCTGGAGTAAATGAAGTAATCCTAGTAACCCTAAAAGGGCTTAGGGTAGGGTGCGTAATGATATTATAAACGCACTTTTTTCCCCGGGCTTCTAATAAGATATGATATTTGCCCGGGCGGTAGTACTATAATTCTAATTTGTTTACTGGTGAAAGCCCCATGAAACGATATCTAAATTTGGGCTTCGTTCACATGTTCATTCATACGCTTATTGCACGTTTTCATGCGCTTTAAAATCCTAGGGTTTAGGGTTAGGGTTATAGGGTTTAGGGTTTAGGGGAAGCCTTTCCCCAGGCTGCCATCATGCGGGTGTCTGAAGACTTGGAGGTCAAGTTTGAGGTCTTCGACCGGCATAGCCCGTGAACGCCTCCCGTATCACAGCTTTTAGGGTTTGGGACTTTGTCCGGGTTCTGAGCATGTAGGGCTTCAGTCAGGGCCTGTAGAAGTTGGCACAATGGGCCTCGGACGTCTAGACCCTGCATCCTGTCTGTTCGGACTCCGAAACCCTCAACAGCGATGCCACAGCAGTCACAGCAGGGCAAGGGCGCCAAAAGGCCCTCCGCCGTCTGGACGAAGATGATCTGAAAATGGCTTCGGGTTTAGGGTTCAGGGGCGTCTCGCTTACGGATTGCCTTAGTTGTAAACGCTTGCGCGCCCCGCCTCGGCAGCCGGGCCGAGCATGCAGTATGTGGAGATGAAAATTCCGCACGGAAGGAAGGGTTGGGTAAGGGGGCAGGAGACCGGATCCGGGTCTGCTTGTTCCAAAGCCGACAAAAAGGGGGAGAAGGTTTTAGGAAGGTTTGAGGAAGGTCCCATGTGCTCCCTCTGTCGCAGGCGGTCCCAGGGGGTCCCAGGAATCCCAGAAGGGTCCCACAAAGGTCCCGGGGCACCAAGCAGCCGAAGGCC